TGAAGGCTGTGGAGAAAAGCCAGACCCTTCTCAGGGAACTAGAGATCAGGGATGATCACTAATACCATCAAGATTACATCCAATAGTGGGAACAAGAGCTCAAGAAGCACAACGCCTGGGATTCTAGGCAGAAAATAAAAGCAAACACATTGTGAAAAGTGAGGCTGAGTTTTGAAACACAAAAAAATCCAAAAAGTATGTTATTTAAACGGTTTTACCCTACATATTAGTGGGTGTACTGTCCCATTTTATATTATACACATATGTTGTATTCTGTTTGCATAACAGTGTCATATCCGTTTTGTTGACCAACAAGTTAGTTAGCTCTACCATTTAAGGGAAGCTCACTTTGCTGTACAATCGTGCGCACATTCTTTTAAAGTTTGAAAAAATAAAAGAATAAAAAAATTTAAAAGGAACTCTGCCTGAGTATCCTTTAAGGTTACTTTGCCTGTCCCAAGCCCGAAAAAAAGAGGAGGGTTGGATGTAGAGCGAGACATTTCACAACACAAAACCAAGAAATTGTTAAACGTAAAGGGCTTCTGGCAAATTTCCAACAAACTTGAAACATTGATTGTGCACCCAATGAAAAAACCCAGGAATTTGAAATTTCACACTGTAGCCTTGATAATAAATACTAATTGATTTATTGATCTCACATCAATAAATCAATTAGTATTTATTATGTCAGTGGGCTGCCATCATGCGGCGCCCAGGGAGCAATGTGGGGTCAAGGGTCGATACTCAGAAACCCGGAGTGGAGGCTGTGGGGATCGAACTGGATACTTGCAACGTTCTCAGAGCACAAGCGCACTGCCCTAACCACAAGACCAACACTCCCTGAAAAGGGCCAATATGCCACCAGTATTTTATCTTTTCATAATCATCTGAACAACATGGATCTGATCTTTTCAAAAACAGCCAGTGTCTAAAGTCTAGAGGCGGCCTGAAAATATAGAGTTTATTTACCTGCGTAAAGACTGAGAGGAGAGGAGAACCTAGCGGATACAAAGAGTGGACTTTCACGCTTTAAAATGGGAAATATTGTTAAGTGCTTGAATGAAAATTTGTGTAAATAAAAAAAAAAAAGCT